ATAATATTTACAACATTCATGACAAAAGACAGTGTTTACACCACCATCATGATCAGGAACAAGATCCACGATGTGGCCGCAGCCGCGATCCTCGATCTGCAACCAGAAAGCACTGACTCTGAAAATCCTTCTCTTTAATAATAAATTATTTATATAGCCAATTTCAAAACAGCTGTTACAAAGTGCTTCACAAAGCGGACAAATAAAAACTATAAAAACAAAACACAACTAGCAAATTAATACAATAAATAAAAAATCAACAAATGATTATACACAAAAGCAAACACAACAAATGAGGCAAACTCCTTCAGATGGTTGTCTAGACTGTATATTTTGAAACAGGTCATTACAGTTCCCCCAGAGTGCTTGAATTTCTAATAAAAAAAGTGACTGCCCTCGCAGGATATGATATCACACACTCACAAAGACCTTACTTTTATATTTTTCCTCTCCCTCATACCTTTATAGATTCCTGCCGCACTGCAAACTCTTCATTTCCTCTTCATTTCCTTCCTCTGTCAGATCTATTGCTCTGTCCTTCCTCAAACTTGTTCTCTGCCTCTTCCTCTCTTTTCCCTCTCATGTTATATTGGACAAATCCGAGACAAGTAGCATTTAAAAGTTGCTAAAGACGCAGGGGGCCGGGTGGCAGGGCGGGAGATGGAGAACAGGAATAATTAGAGATGGGAGGCTCACTTGTCTTAATTCTGTGTTTTCCTCATGGCAGGATGGAATTTATTCAGACCTCTGTGTTTCACCTTGTTAATGATCACTTACCAGACTGAAGGGAAAACTAAAACCTGCGTTCTTCTTTCTGGTCTTCTTAATTATATTTCTTGTGCTTATCTACTCCTTCTCGTTTTCAAACTTTTTTCTTCTTTGCCTGTTTTCTTCGACCGTCTTATCCCACGTATTCTGTCGTCTTGCCAACGACCAGTAATGCAGAGTGAAATACAAGGTTCCCGCCACAGTGAACGATTGCAGTAGAATTGGAGTGCGGGGAGATGATGAATAACCTTAACGACAGCCCTAATCTGTGTTTTTGTTGGCCCTGGCTGCCGACGGCACACAAACTCTGTGCTAATTGCATCATTAAAAATGCAGCGGTTTGAATGTGATCAGAGGCGCTTCAGGGTGTGAACTTGTTAGATCGTCCCGGCTGTCGATTTGGGACGGGTGATGAGCCGTCAGCACGTTAGAGAGACTCCAGGAGGCGTGTGGCCTCTGCTGAGAAGTAGTTTTTTTAAATTTTGAGACTGGAGTTCTCACGAGGGCAGTCATCATGTGAGCTCAGTGTTCTACTCTTCTCTTGTTATCTTTGACTCTTTTTAGCTCAACTAACCTTTTTCATAAACACCTGCTTTCCCTTTTTGGGTTTCATCTCTTTGTCTCTCTCTCTTTACACCATTGTCCTTTCATGTGGCTCGGCCACTGTGGATTCAGAATATGTTGCCTGCGTCTGGACAAGTTACTTCAAGTCTGATGTTTGCTGTAACTTTTTTCTTTCTTTTCAGAGAAAGTTTCTGAGTCGGGCTGTCTCAGTCTACGTGCTGTTTTTTAATGTATATTAAAGGTGTATGTTTGTTAAGATTCAATGTCCGTGTGCATTTGCTCGTATTTTAAAGTTTGTTAGTTAACGTCTCTGTGGGTTTGATTCCGTCTCTTGTGGCTTTTTGCTATTTCATTCAAATTAAAAAATTGATACTGAACCTGTGAAATGTGGATTTTAACAGTTCATTTCAACAGTTAATGGGAAACATGCAGTAAAACCCATCAGGGTTAGAGCAGGCGGGTCTCAGACTGAGCTGTAGAAATTGTTCCATTTATCCAAATCAATCGAATAGAATCAAGAGATGTTAAAACCTGTCTAAGAAAGTATGATCTGAGTATAATTTATATGTGAATCGAAGATTGGGCTGCATCATGATTATTTATGATGATTATTTATGATGCACAGCACTGCACTTTAACGTTGTGCTATATTTCTGCTAATGTACCAACCTGTGTGTGGGCCTCTGAGGCTGGGCTGAATATTTCAGGGGCCTCAAGCCTCCTGAGTTTGGGGGGTTTACATACAACAGCTTTGTAGCTCTGCCTCTCTGGAGTCTCAGCAGCAGACTCTGATTTAAAAGTGTAAAAACAAGTGTAGAATGTTTTTTTCTGACTTTCGAGCTGAACGTAGAACTGGTGAGAGGAACATTTACATGTGATGTGACGTGGCTGTGTGTTTGTGTATATCCAGAGATTGTTCGGGCCATGACGTATGTGATCAACCAAGGCATGGCAATGTACTGGGGGACGTCTCGGTGGACGGCCATGGAGATCATGGTAAGCAGCACAGAGCTGTTATAGATATCATACATCATTCATCATGTCATAGGTCTGTTGGAGCGAGGATCACTGCAGTAAGAACAGAATGAAAATATTCAAGTGGATCAAGTCCTCAACTCACTCAACTTAATAATTCATAATTTCCCTTCTAGTGGAAAGGGCAGCTGTTGAACTCTGTACCCGAAGAGTTTGGCAGAAGAATGGCACTGATTGCTGATTTGTTTTGCAGCAGATTTAAACCGTCCTGTGTGAGTTAGAGGAGAGTTCTAAAAAAAAACGACTTTGATTTCCACAAAACTTTCCACGTTACTTCTTTTTCACCAACATGAGCAGGTATACTCAGGTTATTTAAACACAGAGTGAATGACGACTGAATCCATTCGCATTGCAGACAAAAGCCAGATGTTAGTGGGTTTTGTGACCAGTGTAAAAGTGGCTTAACATTGAGAGAGTGTTTGACATTTTCACTTGTTACTCAGCGAATTACTCCTGAAAATTGATGAGGGGGGTTGGGGATATCTATTAGAGTGGGTTGATTAAATTAAAGGGAACTGTTGGACCTTGGCAGAGGAATGTCCTCCACTGATGCCATAGTTCTTTATTGTAATACCTACGATATTAGAGCTTCTAAGGAAATGTTCTTCCTGTTAAAACAGATTAGATTTCAGATCCCACTGACAAATGAGAGAGGACAGCTGCAGCAGGAAAACCCTCTATTTGACCTTTGATCCAGAATAAACTGTCAAGAAACCATTGATGTACTGATGAGGAAAAGCAGGTCTGGTTTCTTCACCTTAACCACTTTGAGCAATGCACCAGCTTTGTATCTCAGACATGTTGCTCAGTCACCGTCGAGGTTGTGACAGAAAGTAACAAGATGAAAGTTAGAGGAAGATGCAAAGTGGTTTCCTCTTCCTGTTGGAAACAGTTTACCTCACGTTCCAGCTCCCGCTACATTAATGAATATATACAGGGTGTGTGAAGCCACAGCAGAGAGTTATGACATGAACACACGCCTAAAGTGACAATCGAGGACCTAACACCCGTTATCTCTCTCTGGTGTCTTTATCAGCCTCAGAGCACGATGTCTTGATACATTCTCTGTGATCACATTCAAAAAAGCAGCAGCTATCTTTGTAGAACACAAGCACAGATGAAAGCTGTGTAATTTAGATGGCATCAATAATGAAGGGGGTAAACACAGCTTTTAAGCGTATGTGACGAGGCAGCAGTGCAGAGCTCTCACACACACACACACACACACACACACACACACACACACACACACACACACGTTGTACATTCACACACACAGACACACACACGATGTACATGCACACACACACACACACGATGTACATGCACACACACACACACACACGTTGTACATGAACACACAGGCTGGAGGGGAATGTCACGAGTCGCAGCACAGAAGGGCAACTGGTAATTTGTGAGTGGAGCGATTATGCAAGCGTAGATGGATCCCCCCCCCCATCCTGACATGTGTTCCACAGCAGGGAACATACAGAGATATGTGTGTGTGTGTGTGTGTGTGTGAGTGTGTATGTGTTTGTGCGTTCTTGAAGGACACGTGAAAATCCAGATGAGAGTGTGGATGAGGAAATTTAAATGCGATGCCTGGAGCGTTGTGACAGAGAATATCTTCTATGAGCTGAGTATTTGAATTTGTGCCACGCTCCCACAACTACCCCTCCACTCCCATCACCCTGACTCTATCTCATCTCTATCTCTCTCACCATTTCTCTTACCTCCATCTTTTATTTCATTTTGCTCCTTTTCTGTCTTTTTTAGCTTTGTTCCTCCTCAGAAGTTTTAAAAGTTTTAGTCAGTATGAGCTCTAACATCACCACCTCTTCCTTTTCTCCTCCCTCTTTTTACCTGTAGGAGGCGTATTCAGTAGCGAGACAGTTTAATCTGATCCCTCCGGTCTGCGAGCAGGCAGAGTATCATCTGTTCCAGAGGGAGAAAGTTGAAGTGCAACTGCCCGAACTTTACCACAAGATAGGCAAGTAGTCAAATGTCTCTTTTCTGTCCAATCACAAATGTCCTGTGAACGTTCTCACATTCACAATTTGTTATGAATGAGTTAGGAATTGGGAAGATGATAATCTCTGTCATCCTCTCACAGGAGTTGGGGCGATGACGTGGTCACCGCTGGCGTGCGGCATCATCAGTGGAAAATATGAAAATGGCATTCCTGAGTCCTCCAGGGCCTCCATGAAGGTAGGGAAGCTCACTCACCTGCACTATTGCCAGAATAAAGCAGGAAACACAGTGAAGATTTTACTTAAATCTTAGTTAAATCCATTTCAGAAATCATGAGATAAATGAGATCTGGTGTTACGACATTAAGGATCCTGAAATTGGAAAGTAACATTTTGTGGTGAGGCTATTTCATTCACACTGGTATTTGCTGCTGTTGAGTGATTGTACAATTAAATATAAACTTGTTCAGCCATAACACATGGTGAATTTAGAACACTTAGTAAACTTTCACTTTGCTGCATTGTACATCTGTACATCAATAAATAGACAGAAAATATAGTTACCAGCACATCTGAGCCTCATTAAATGATTCGTCTTGTTTGTTGAATCAGAGCAAAAAAAGAAGTGTAATTAGATAAGCAGTGGTTTGAAACGATGGACTGATCATTTCATAAAGCTTAAAACCAGATTTTCAAGGTCACACTGTCATCCCATATCTTTTCCAACCAGTTCACCTGTACCCCTGACAGATATATAAGAAGGATCACCATTAAACTCTTTGTCCATTCATTGTCATGGATAATTTCCTCTGGCTCCAGTCGTATCAGTGGCTAAAGGAGAAGATAGTGAGTGAGGATGGGAGGAAGCAGCAGGCCAAACTGAAGGAGCTCAACCACATCGCAGAAAAGCTGGGCTGCACGCTGCCTCAATTGGCTGTGGGTGAGTTATGGTATATTACAACATATATATATATATATATATTATATATATATTATCTATTTTCAATTGATTTATTTTACTGCTTTCATTATTATATTGCTTTTAACCGTTTTTTTTTTTTCACCATCGTCTCTTGCATTAACCTGTTTAAATTTGTAATTGCACAAGTGAAATAAAACATGTGTCATTTTTACTATTACTACTATTATTCTATTGTTGTTGTTATTATTGTTATTATATAAGACAAATCTTCCAATTATTTTTGTCCTGGGTTTGATTATTTGTGTCTATCTTTCGTTCAACTTTTCAATCCCACTGCATGGATAAAATAACTGAACAGCCTGGAAGGAAGAAATTTGTTCATTCAAACTTGAAAAATCAGGGTTGCACTGGAAAAAGGTCGCTTTAACTTTGTCCTGTAAGGGTTTGATAAATGATGTGCTGCCACAAACAGAGAACAGAGGATCAGATTAAAAGCGCAGGTTTATTTGGGTCTGTTTTAAGAAGCAGTGCGCCATCAAGTGGACACTGTGTGAACATCAACCTCTGTCTCTTCCAGCGTGGTGTCTAAGAAATGAAGGAGTGAGCTCAGTCCTACTGGGAACATCCAACCCTGAACAGCTCACAGAGAACCTCGGGGCCATACAGGTGGGAACATGCAGACACGTATCACACACTGCTGTTTTTAGCTGTTTCCTCACTGCGTCCTCCACCATCTCCCAGCTCTATTGATTTCTACGTCAACACCTTTTCTCACTTCTCTCCTTCCAGGCATATTCACCTCTGCTCGCTCTCTCTCTCTCTCTCTCTTTACCCAGGTCCTTCCTAAGATGACCTCTCATGTGGTGTCTGACATCGACCACATCCTGGGCAACCGGCCGTACAGCAAGAAGGACTACCGCTCCTAGACTGGGCAAGAGGTCAGCTGTACCTGCCTGCTCCACCACACCGCTACCATGAACCCACCGTCCAATGTTCAAAAAGTCCACGGTTCTCTCCTTGGGCCCCTCAGCTCCAGGACCAGACAGCTTTGCTCAGCCCAGCGTTGCATCTCTGTTTGAGATTCCTTTGATTCTTCAGATCAGCTCCACCAGGTTCATCTCAGGTCCAGTCCAGCTCCGCCGGCCGAGACGCGCTCAACAAACTCTGCTTTCTGCAGCTTCAAACACAGCTTCATCCATTTGTGTAAATTAAAGCCCACAGGTTGCCCTGTTCTGCACGGGCCCATTCAAGTATTACTATGCACACCTTCGTTTAGCCCGCGCTCGAGTTCCGATCCTGTGCCACGCTCTGGTCATTTAGAGCCACTCCGTCCAGAGGTCCGTATGAATTGAATTGAATTAATTGAGGTGATATTTCAACTGAAATCAGATGCAAGGCAGCTCCTTGTTTTTAGAGAAACCAACTCAGAAAAGAAAAGAACTGCAGGTGTATTTCAAATTAAAGTGCCTTGTGTCAAGGACATCTCGATTGTAGTCGGTGAGTGAGGCGGCTTTGTTGCCTCTTCACTTTCCCACTCGCTCACAGTCTCACTGCTCGGCCAATGACTAAGACCATCAGGTCTCCAGCCTCAGAGTCTCTAACATCCAGACTTCCACCCACAAGTCAATTTCATTTGAGCACAAAATTCATACTGAGCACATCATCTACTTCTGAGTATATTACTGTACCATAGCTGAGATTAATGCAAGCGCCTTAGACGTGTAAACTAGAGGAACCTCAGGAATGAAGAGGCTTCACTCGCGCCGTTTTCCTATGAAATGTGAAGTTTGGGGATGATGAAGAGTTTTATGAATGAGGCCTCAGCAAACTAGCTCCCTATTGGCTTGAATTAGCTGCTTTCAACTTCCTACCAAATGTAATCAGTTTAGTACAGAGTAGTATTGAATAGATATTATTGGCTGCAAATCCTGAGCGTATTAACCGTCAGGTGCATGTTCCCCCTTCTATAACCTGCCTCTCTATTCTTTACCCTTTTATACAAAGCACATTATTAAACAACGAAATTGGAGTTTGATCAAGCTCGTCTTCTCTCCACAGCCCCTGTGAAGCAGAGGATTGTGGGATATTGAGTGTTTAGGATTTCGAACAGCATTAAGGAGAAAGAGGGAAGCATGTTGCCCCCATGTGGTCTTTTTGAGGAACTGTTCCTCTGCTTTATTAGATCTTAGGAGGAGAGAGAGCAGACTACTTCTTTCTGGGTTTGCGTTCGTTATGGACTCGTGCTCTTTTTTGCCTCTGAACCGAACCTGCATCGCTGATCACCTCAATGAACTTTGCACATACGGACTTCAGCATATGATAAATCTATATAATAATAGGCCGGCCAGTGGTCGTGGTTCTAATAACTGCTTGTTAATGGAACAATGTGATATATTGGCAAGGTGTTTGGGATGTGGCAAAGATTACAGTATTTATTCTAGAGTAGTTAACAAATCTGAAATTTATTTTGACATTTTGAGATATTGTCATCCGTTTGAAGATGTTACATGTATATAAAATCTTTAAGGCATACCTTGTAACATAAGCAAAACCATGAGGAAGCCTCTGTTGCATATGAGGCCTTCACTGTAATGTATGGCTGAAATATAAATAAGATGTAAATAGAGTTATTTTGTTGCTCCTCTGCAGTGTCGCTGCAGTGTTTGAATCTTCACACCATCCTTATCCTCCAGCCTGTTTTCTATAGCTGTCTGTAAAGAATGGTGAGTTCAGATTCGAGAATCTGCAACAATAACAGCATTATGTGAAAGTATGGACTTCTGTTATGAAAAATAAGGAATGAGCTTCAGCTATTGTCTAATGACTTAACCTTGACTCTTTTTCATCCGGAGAACAAGCCATCGCAGCGATCAGCAGAGACGTTGGCCGGCCTCCAGCTGCATCTCTGTTTTGTCCTTGGTGCACAATTGTTGATTTGTAGCACAAACACCCTGCAGACTCTAATCAGAGGAAACTTTGTGTTTTCTGCCAAATACGCTGTCACACATATTGGAACAAACATCAATAAGCATCAATCGGCTCGTGGTTTATTTAAAGCAATGTCTGGCCTCGACCGATGAACAGGCTTCCTTCTGAATATTTACTTTGGCTCGGTGCTGAATACAAATGAGGGAGGCCTGACCAGCACTCACTCAGCATTAATACAATGCAAAAGAAGAGCCATGCACACAAACAAACACAAAGGTATTGTTTCACTTCATTCATTCAATTCCACTTCATTGAATCTTATCAAAAATATTTGATTCATCTGTGGATTTTTCTTTTTAAGTCAAAGTCAGTTTCCTTTATGGATAAAATGTGTGATAACACACGTGGTAGTGGAACCAGTTTGTTCTTTGTGCATGTGACCATGTTGGATCGTAGCCTGTCGGTGTGTGTGGAGACGTGTGAACCTGACAGAGTGCCTTGACGTGAGTTCCGCTACAGTAAAACATTCAGGGATGTCTTTATTATGAGTTGTTACATGGTGACTGGATGTTGTCCTACAAAAGAAACATGAGAGCGGAGCACCTTTCCTACAGATTCTGGTGTTAGAGTGCCCAGTCTATCGTATGTCATCTATCGTTAGGTTATTTGTTTGTGTGGACCCTCTGGTGATTTTTTTCTACATTTTCCCATTCGGCGGTTCACAACTACAAGTATATACTTCTTAGAAATGTCATCCTCATCTATGGAGTCACTGATTACAGCTTCTCACAGTGTACGACACTGTCTTTGTTCTATCTTAAGCTTTTTTTCGGCTGCTTCCCCAAAATGATCAGACTGGAACAACTATTGACTTCCTGAAACAACAAACTATAACAAACTCCATAGAGAAACTAGCGATACACATGTCCCATGTGTACCAACAAAGATAGGGTGTTATTTAATTTGGCACTCAGTGGAGCGCAGACTTCCGACAAGGCCCAACAGTCCCCTTTAATAAGTTTACACCAATTTCACACACTCATAGATATCAGCTCCCTAAATATGCCTGATATCTTTTATCAAGATCCATGAATTATTCACTGGGAAATCAAGGAAAATGTCCAAAACATGACCTCCTTGGCAGAGGTAATAAATACCGTGATATTATGGACAAACTGGACATAAATCTGTCAGCGGCTGTGATCTTTGACTTTTTAACCGTCTTCTCTATTTGTTATCAGCATCAGTGGGAAACAGACCAAAGGCCAAAATGCAGCAGAAGCAATTGGCTGAGTCCAGATAACATTAAAACTACTGCAATGTGTCACATGAGCTTTGTCTTAAGTTTCCCTAAAATCAATTCAGATGTAAGTGAATAGTTCGTATCAGTTCCACAGACCAATCTTGTTACAAATAGGCTGAGTTTTAGGATGGCAAAGTGACATGCAAACCATCAGTGTATTATTCCCCCTGAACAGTGGTTTCTCTGTAAATATCCTATATGAAAGTGTGATTATAAATAAATGCATTGCCAATGGAAACAACCGTGTCCCTGAATTTAAACCTGATGGAGTTTAACATCATAATTCTGTTTATCTGCAAGTTTGTTTTAATTACTGTGTAAAACCACAGTGGGAATTTGTCACACAACTCTTGAGAAGCAATAAGAATGATCAACTCACCGTCCAGAGCAGAGGTTTAACCAGAAAACCTCTGTGAGTGGACTTATGTGTTACTAAGAAAACCTGAATGACACACACAGAACACAAGTAGACCTGGTTGCTTTATTTGTTACAAAAAACAGAAGACAGACCTGGAGAAACACCCTCCAGATATTTGATCATGAATTTCATGAAGTTGAAATGTGATATTCCAGCCCCCCTTTAAACCCCCTTCTCAAGAATAGTGAAAAAAATATTCTGTAAATCCACTTCCTCCCCTCCTCTCCTGACCAATCCCACCCCATTATCCCTCATCCTTACAGCTTCCTCCCTTCTTCTTCCTTTACTTGGAGCCGGTCGAGAGCAGAGCGATGAGTCCAGAGGAGGCACTGATGGACAGAATGTAGTTACTGGGAAAAAGTGAGTTAAGGTAAACACACGAATCACCAAATATTTGATCACATTCAAGCTTGTGAAGAAAATAATCTGTGGAAACGTGCAGCAACTACTGTAGACAGTGTGTTGCAACAAAACTTAACCGCTATGTTTCCTGCTAACTTTGAGGAAGATGTAGGCAGGGAAGGTCAGATTCAGTGTTTTTATTTTGCGTCCATCACTGTCAGATCGTGCTCTCTGGAGAAAGCATGGTGTGCTGTTTTAATTCTGATAATCACGTCGACCTCAAATGCTGAATCAGCTGAGGGACTTTATGACTGAAAGGATACACGGTGGGGTTGAAGTTCTTTAGCAAGAAGAAGGAGGCGACGATGACGAGCACCAGGAACAGAGTGTTGTTGTAGAAGATGGAGAAGGTGGTGGCCTCATAGTCAGCGACCTCGTTCTTCTTCCACAGGATCCTGAACAGAGGAGAAAAACAACATGTCACTTGTTTTCATTACATTTACTGTGATCATCCAGATGTTTCAGAGCACTCGCATCACTATCGAGATTACTTGGTGCTTTCATGGGTTGTATGAGCTTTAACCAACGCACAGCTGTGTGATCACAACTAACTTATCAGCGATGTCTACAAAAGTGGCGTCACCTCTCGTCTTTCTCCTTGCGGGACATCTTGCGGTTGTCTGCCTCAGACAACTTCCTGGTTACCTCCTTGGAAACAGCGTCCTCACGTTTCTGGGCAACTCTGCAGGACCAGCAGAAAACAGCATGAGCCAGTGAGAGGCTTTTACTCACGAGTGGAAGCAAAGCTGCCCTTTCTAAACACATTGATGAATACGACTAGAGATGCAAACTCGTCTCTAAAGAATTACACGGTACTTTAGTTCAGTATTTCGTCTGGAAACAGAATGATTCAATACTTTGCAGTGGCCACTAAACTAATCATAGTCCTAACTAATTTTCAGAAAGATGCAATAGATGCAGGAATACAAATGAGAAACATAAATGAAATCAGAATCCAACCATTGTTCTGGACAGCTGTAAAACGTGCAGAGCGTCTGAATCAACTCACTTGTGTTTGAGAACAAACTTGACGTTCTTGTAGGCAAAGGCCACCAGGTAGGTGCTGACCAGAGTCATGACGCCGTATAAAACTGCAGACTGGACCAGGTCCATGTGCCAGATCCTCCAGAAGAGCCCTGGACAGATCAAGCCGATCACACTTTCAGTCAGTGACTGTGTGCAACACGTCATCTTTCATCTTTTCACCAATAGCTCAAAACACAATAAACGGATTATGAGTGTTATGATTAGGAAATACTAAACGATGTCGTAACAGACTCTAGTGAGTATGATTATATTCATAAGTGGGTCAGCTTTCCCCTGTTTCCCCTGCTCCAATGAATCAGTGCTAGCTAAGCTAAGTGGCTAACAGTACTCACAGATGGGGATGGCAGAGACGATGAGCGCGTTGCCGTAGAACAGAGCTGTGGACTTGGCGGAGAGGTTCCTGCTGAAGTCCTGGAGGAGCAGGTCCTCCTCCGACTGCTGCTTGTTGCTGCCTTTAGGCGCCATGTCTGCGGACTGACTGACCGGCCTGACTGCTGCTCGGCTCGGGGGAAACAAGAGACTGACACGTCGGTGAACGAGAAGAAGAGAGACTCGTCAGCATAAACCCGGAAATACGACGCAGGCCTTTCTTCTTCGTTCAGGCAAAGGAATAGACGTTTGGCGCCAATGCTGCCATCTGCAGGAAGTCGGACATACTGCACCCGTAACACTGAACTCATTGTGTTTCCTTTGCTCAGTTTGTGAGTCTGTGATGTTGTTATGTCATAATGTTCATCCCTGATTTCTGCAATTTACATATCAAAATGTAAAAGCACCTCCTTTTTCAAGCATGTGTAAAGGAACATACAAGAACCACGTATGTTTTGATTTCGGATTTCTGCAGACACAGGCCCAGAGGCCAAAACAGTCAGTGGAGCTGCTGTCGAACCACAAAGTCAAAGACAGATGATGACAAAGAGACATGAAATATGAAGGAATAGACAATAAATGACCACAAAGATGATGCACAAAGCAAAACCAAAACTTGTTTGGAAAAAAAACCCCACAAAAAAGTATGACTGGAGACACAATATGACCAAAAGGAGATGTGAAATAGTAGGAAAAGAAAAATCTGTATTTGTCCCAGAATTGTTATATGTCAGTTCATTAGTTATATTATGTCTTACAGAAAAGAAAATCAAGATATAAAATCAATCAAGTGCTAAATACAAAAGTTTTTAACAACTAATACACAAATCACAACAAATCACAAAAACTCCTATAAACTGGAAGAGTGAAAATAAAATAAAAATGTTTACTGCAGATCATTAAGAAGCTTATTACAATTTGCAGACACCACTGTCAAACAGAGAAATGAAACACCAAATGAGTGGGTTTCTCTCTTCTGCAGAATCTATACTTCTTCATGAATCATGCTCACAGCCTCACCACATCCCACTCACCTTATCACTTTTTTATTTTTAGCAAATTGGGGGAAGTTTGAAGATGTCTGGTGAAACAATTGTCTGAGAACCAGATGCTGTCATATTGAAACATCTTATAATTCAATGAATAAGCTCTAAAATCTCCACAGACCGACTGCATCCTCTCCACTACTTGGAGGGTTCACACTTTGACCACTAGAGGTCAACGTCTACATGTCTGTGCATGTGTTCAGCTGGTGCACACTTCCTCCGGTACTGGCAGTGGATCTGCAGATCTTACATCACCAGGATTACAAACTATCGGGGGGGGAGTCATGGCCTCATACAACTCGTAGTCCTTATAGTGCAAGAGAAAATAAAACATTTATTTGGTGTTTTAGTGATTTTTTTTAAAAGAGCAATTTCAGTTTGTAGAGATGAAGGTGGATCAGTCAGTGGGAAAGGATGTGAGTTAGTTCAAATGAGCTTCCACCTCTGCAGCACAAGTTTGGAGTGACGTCTTGGAGATGATCAAAATATGCAGACATATGAACCAGTAAGTAAATATGTTTTCTTCCTACCCTACAGGCCCGTGTCTCAGCCTGCTGTAGTTTTGAGCACGTTTTAAGATCCTGCATAAAATTCACCTTTCATCTGACAAACATGCCACAGTGCATGAGTGTGGCCGTGCAGCTACAGATGCACAACCTGTTGGTCGAGGATGGACGTCTGCTTAACTCCCTTCTCCTCCTCATGTCATCAGTCAGGCCTGACTCAGGCCTGAGTCAGGCCTGCCGCTGGAGACATGGAAAACCAGATACTTGACCTGCTGCTGTACTTAACTCCCTGCTGAGCTCTCCTCTTTCTTAGGCCACAGCCACACTAATACATTTAAGTTTCTCTCTCTCTCTGTTTGCAGCATGTGCGTGTGCCTGAGTGACTGCATAGCTTTGGGTGTGTATGAGTGGGCGTGTGTGTTCGAAAGCAATGCAGAGCGGCAGGTTTGCGTGATGTCCCTGTTTTTAAATGGGGATAGAGCTTAGGGATTAACTGTGCACTTCAGGGGTGCAGGAAGGAGGCGAGGAGGAGGGAGGAGGAGGAGGAGGAGGTGATGCCAAAAGGCCTGCCAACACAATGCCACACAAGGCTGGTGATCTCTCTCTCTCTCTCTCTCTCACTCTCACTCTCTCACTCTCTCTCCGGTCCTCATGTGTAATCCGTATGTTTTTGCCAGATTGCTTTGGTGACACCACAGACATAACCACAGGGGCACAGACACATACTGACCATTCACAGGGCACAAGTGAAAACACACACACACACACACACTGGCACACACACTGGACAGCTGATAGTGACTTTGCCTGGCAGTGCTGGTATGTTTTAACTCTGTCTGACTGTTCCCTTAGGAATATTTATGACAGATTGTCTATCATTGTGACTAATTCTTTGTGAGGTGTTTTTACTTACTTGCCCAAGTGTGTGTGTGTGTGTGTGTGTTTGTGTGTGTACTATTTTGTTTCATCTTTATCATTAGGACTTCTTCTAGTTTAAACACTGACCTCGTCAGGACCAATAGACCTCATGAGGACCAGGCTTTGGTCATTTCATGTCATTTCGAGCTCCTGGTTGAGTGGTAAGATGTGAGTTGTGGTTAAGTTACGGTCAGGGTTAGGTATGAATTGGTCATCGGTTAAGGTTAGGGACAAAGTTTTGGTTTGTCCACAAAGAATGGAGGTCAATGCAAAGTCCTAATAAGGATAGCTGAGCAAACCTCTGCGTGTGTGTACTTGTAAGCATAGACCCCACAGAGTCAGAACATTTTTGGAAAGTGAGGACATTTTGACTGGTCCTCACTTGTGTGTGTGGTGTGTGTCACATTATTGGGACATGTCCTCCTCATGAGGAGGAAAATAATGAAAGATGAACAAGAATCTGAGGAGGAACGTGTGACCTTCATTAAAATCAGTGTGAGTTCACATTCATTGGCTTTAAACAGAACCTTAAACTCCAAAATAGGTCAGAGCTCCAAGTAATTTTCCACAGTGTTGGATAATATGGAAGTCCCCCGCCTCTGAAAAAGTAATTCACAAATGGTAGTATGACTGCAAAGGCGTGTGGTCACACAACATCCTCTGTCCTCTGATGATTAAAAGAGGAAGAACATTTATTAAAGTTTTATCACTGGCATGTGGTATATGTTCATAAGTTGGAGGGAGCAGGGAGGAAGTTTATAGCTTTTTTCCTTTTCCGCAAAATCTTTGGTATCTAAATTGGATCCACTACACAGTTTCTTTCTCTGCAAACAACAACTGAAAAGGAGCTGATGTTGGAGATGTGAACTGTCATTACATGTGATTTTCTTAGTGTCTTCTTCAAATACTGTTTATCTAATAAAATATTTAGTCTTGCCAAGACATTTTTATTCCACTTAAAATACAGCAGATTTGAATCACTGCTCTTTGCAGATTAAAGATGAACAGAAATAACATAAAGCCATGCACTCCAACCAGTAATCTAATGAGCTGTATTCAGATTTGTATTGAAATGTGAATCAATATATATTTTTTATATATGTATATGTTTATAAAGATGGATGACATGATGGCTGCCCAAAAGTGAAGCCAAAGAATCTCAATTGCCACCTAGTGGCTGGCTGCAATATGAGTCATAAACCCTGTCTCCTCCATGTTAGTGGATTGGACATTAGCCAAACTAATGTGAAAGAAGGCCCACTTACACTTACACATACATTTTCCTCAAAGATTTCTGTCATTTTAGGTCGTTCTGTCCAAGTGCTCATGTTTTCCTGTAAATTAGATTCTAATTAGGTATTTGACGTTATAAAGTCGGAATGGCACGTCATGATTGACAGCTTAGACAAACTTGTAATTGGTCGAGCCCATGTGTCAAGCGGGACCTTTATACTGTACCCTCCGATCACTAGTGGGCAAACTCTAGCTCCAAATGTGCCAGATGACAGCATTCCTAACCAGGATATTTTCGCTTTATTTCTGAATAGTGGGAGGAAGTGGAGATGCGTCGTCGCTCTTTACATTCTATGGTTTGCTACTGTTTTAGCAGTAAGCCCACCAGCTACAATCATGGACGTATTTCAGTGGCTACATTAGTACATATATACTTGTCTTTAAATGAGATTTTGACATAATCAAAAAAATATGAGCAGCCCTTGGGTTATGTAATGTAAAGCCAATAGTAGGCTACAACTTTAAAGATGGGTGAAGAAATGGCATAAAAGTACATTGCTTAGTTTCACTGGTTCCTTTCACGACACGTCTCAGGCCTCCGACTGTAATATGATAAATCAAAGAGGACAACAATGTCCTTGTGTCAGGCTGAGGCATGACTGGAGAGAGGAGAGGCTGTAAAATGAATGGATGAGAGGAGGAGAGGGGAGACTGACAGAAGCACCTGTGTGACAGCACTGCGGGCGCCGCGCAACTGTTTTAGGGTCTGGTGACATCTCCCTCTGTCATATCTAGCTTTCATTACAGAAAGGATTGTGTTCAACCTCCCACTCACGCACCCGGCCCCTCTGCCCAGGCCCATAATGTCTAACTGCCTCCAACAGACGTTTGCTGGAATGGTTGCGTGCGCTTCTCCACTCCTATCTCCTACGTGTCCTTTGATTTATGTTCCCCCTTCGGCTCAAAGGCACGGAGGAGAACGTGATATGGTAGAGGTGGAGGGTGGAGGTGAGGGGTGGGGATCACTCACAGAGATGAAGGGAAGAGAACCAGTGAAATGTTTGTCTTTTCAAAGGATGCCAGACATGTGTTTACACTTTCTGCCCACTTTCACCATAAATAGTTTCCTCACCCTCAGGGGTGTGTGCTTGCAAGTGAACCTTCATGCAAGCATATGACTGTGTTTGTGTGCGTGTGAGTGTGAGAGAGAGAGAGACAGAGAGCGTAAGATCGGTAGACCCTGGAGACCGAAACTAACTTTGATCTGTTTTCTTCATTCCCTTCACTCATCATTGGTGCAAGATTTATTGGAGCTAAAGCAGTAAAACGTGTGCATGCCACCACGCAGTGCTACCTTTCAAAGCCTATTTCCTAGACAGTGAAACTCCACTGGAAACTAGAAGCAGATTGATATAGACTCATCTAGAAAAAGAAACCAGGATTTGTCATTCTTTTTTTAATCTTTTGCAGTGTGCGTATGATTCGCTGATGTGCAAGTCATACTGTGGGTGTTGAGGTGTAGCTGCGGTCAGATAGACATTGTTAATCGGGTCGGCCAGACCCTGGCGCTGATTCATAACTATCCTGATTGCGATGACACAGGCTCAGCTTCCCCTGGCAGAGTTATGGTGACCCCTCAGGCAGAGCTCAGTCCCAAAACAAATGCTCACGTGGTTTCATTCCTTCACTCCAATAAACAGCAGGTTTCACCGTGTGCTCTCACTGGAGCAAACAGATAAGATTGTATTACTCTGTTTTTAATGTGTGGTTACAGACAGAGCGCCCCACGGCCGGGTCACCTGCTGCAGTGTGAATAACGCGTGAATTTAAATCCTTCAACACATAATAATTACACCGTGCACAGGAGATAGTGTGTGTGTGTGTGTGTGTGTGTGTGTGTGTGTGTGTGTGCGTGTGCGTGTGCGTGTGCTCGTTCTTTGGGGTGTTTAGTCAATGTGCAGAGACATGAAGGCTAACCTGCTGCCAACTTGACTCGTCTCAGATGCAGAGAGAGAGAGCAGAAGATGTTGACATTTTGGCAGTGGGGAGAAGCTGCTGTTCCTTCTGCATCTGAAAGGTCACTGCAGTGGGCTCAGGAGCTGTGTGTGTGTATGTGTGTGTGTGTGTGTTAGTGTGTGTGTGTGCAGTGTGTTCAATGTGTGTGTCTTTCTCATCAATTCTGTGTGAAAAGAGCAGAGGAGAGCTATAAACAAAGATGCTGGGAGTGTTGGGCACAGCACAAACAGAATAGTAGGAATCCACCCCCCCGCCTCTCGCCCTCACAAACACTCATTCGTACATTTGTACACACACATTCTTGCTTTGAAGATGTTTATAGAAACTGTGTAGGTTCAGACTCACAGTAAACATTAGACATTTTTGATTAAACAGACCAAAAAGAAAATTCTCTCCTATAGACTGATTTCTATTTAGCAGAAAGATATCAGTTCTATGTGCGTGTGTTACACAGAGCTAGCTGACCTGTTTACCCTAGCTTAGGTTACGTTTTTGTTTTTTTTAGAACTTGATTAATAGCCCTTGTTAAAACAACGAGCTGAAAGATGCTAAAATGCTTCATAGATCTGAGGTCAACTGCAGAGTTAGGTGATGATGATAAGAATAACAATAATATTAATAATAACACAATCATGGACCAACTCCTTCAGAGGACACAGTCTCTAGGGGGCGGTCTTCTTGGGCCGTGTAGACCATGAAAGCTGAAGGCAAATGAGGTCGACTGGTCTACAGAGGATATCTGTGATCGGCTTGTCCCGCCGTTACTGCAACCGCTTAGCAACAAAGCCGCAGCTGAACATGACAAGAAAATTTGAATACCTTTTTTAGAATG